TTTCCCACTGCACAAGTTTCCTTTTTTTCCCTTTTTAGATGGTGTCTCGCTCCGTTGCCCAGGCTGGAGTGCAATGGCGTGATCTCGGCTCCCTGCAAGTTCTGCCTCCCGGGTTCAAGCGATTCTCCTGCCTCAGCTTCCCGAGTAGCTGGGATTACAGGCGCCGCCACGCCTGGGCTAATTTTTGTATTTTAGTAGAGACCGGGGTTTTCACTATGTTGGTCAGCTAGTCTTGAAACTTCCACCTCGTGATCTGCCCACCTTGGCCTCCCAAAGTGCTGGGATTACAGGTTTGAACCACCGTGCCCGCCAAAGTTTCCTGTTTTTAACACAGTCATAGTCCTTTTAAGAAAAACAGTAAATTTTATTATGCAATCATTTCCAAAGTAGACAGAGGAAATAGATCAGATATCCCAATCGTATCGACTACAGAAAATAGTCCACAACCACTTCTATAGAAATTTTAGTTTTTCCTAAATTAACACAATATCTAGGTACACACAACACGTTTAAATGTTTTAATCCCCGGCTGGGTGCGGTAGCTCACGCCTGTAATCCCAGCACTTTGGGAGGCCGAGGCGGGCGGATCACGAGGTCAGGAGTTCGAGACCAGCCCTGGCCACGTGGTGAAACCCGTCTCTACCTAAAAATACAAAAATTATGCCGAGCCGGGTGCGGTGGCGGGCGCCTGTAATCCCAGCTACTTGGGAGGCTGAGGCAGGAGAATCACTTGAACCCAGGAGGCCAGAGGTTGCAGTGAGCCAGGATCCCGCCACTGCACTCCAGCCTGGGCAATAAGAGTGAAACTCCGTTTCAAAAAAAAATTGCTTTAAGTCTCCCTTGGTTGCCCAGGCTGGAGGGTAGTGACACAAATCACAGCTCACTGCAGCCTCCAACTCCTGGGCCCAAGTGATCCACCCACCTCAGCCTCCCAAGTGGCTGGGACTATAGATGCCCACCACCATGCCCAGCTAACTTTTGTATTTTTAGTAGAGACAGGGTCTTGCTATGTTGCCTTGTCCAGGCTGGTCTTAAAACTCCTGGGCTCAAGAGATCCTCCCACCTTGGCCTCCCAGGTAGCTGGGAATACAGGTGTGAGCCACTGTGCCCATCCAGAAAATCTTTAATTGACAAATATTTAAATGACAAGAGGGTTTTAAGAAATTAAAAGGATGTATGAGGTGAAGTGAGTTGTGAACAGAACCTGGGTGCCCTCCTCATCCGTGTGCCTCAGTCACCCTCGTGCCTGACTGGCTTTGCCAACGGAGCATGGACCCTTGGCACGGGTCAGCTGTGGCTGCGAACATGGTAGTCTGGGTCAGGCCTCATTCAGGTCCCCACAACAGGCCTGACTTCTGCATGAGAGGTCTTCGCCTTAAACCCCACGCCATCCTGGGGGTTCCTTGGTCAGGTATGAAACCCTGTACAGAAGTCAGGCTGTCTGATCCCAACTCTCCCCTTCTCAGCCTGGCCACAAGTCACTCCCCAGATGCAGCATTGTAGGTTTCTACTTTTCCACCTGTCTCCTCGGGAACAAAATGTAAGTGCGTGCGGCCTGTGCAGGGAGGACAGAGGGAAGGAGAGGCCAGAGCCCTGCGGTGCCCTCACGACCGGGTGATCTTGTCAGGAGGCATGAACCCCGTGTCCCCGAGGGTCCTGAGCGCAACTCGGCCATTGGGTCGGATCACCAGGTGGGTGATGCTGCCGTTGTTAAGGGACAGCCGGAGCCAGCCTTCGGGAGGGAACTGCAGCGCTCTGGGGAGAGAGGGGGAGAGGGAGAGAGAGAGAGAGAGAGAGAGAGAGAGAGAGAGAGAGAGAGAGAGAGAGAGAGAGAGCACGTTAGAGCCGGGGGCTCTGTCCTTAAAACAGGCTGGGCTGGGCTAGGTCGGGTGCGGTGGCTCACGCCTGTAACCCCAGCACTTTGGGAGGCTGAGGTGGGAGGATCACGAGGTCAGGAGATCGAGACCATACTGGCCAACACGGTGAAACCCCGTCTCTACTAAAAATACAAAAAATTGGCCATCTGTGGTGGCGGACGCCTGTAGTCCCAGCTACTCGGGAGGCTGAGGAAGAAGGAGAATGGCGTGAACCCGGGAGACGGAGCTTGCAGCGAGCCGAGATCACGCCACTGCACTCCAGCCTGGGCGACAGAGCGAGACTCCGTCTCAATAAATACATAAATAAATAAATAAAAACAAACGGGCTGGGCCAGAGCCAGGGGACTATGTTCTTAAAACGGGCCGGGCTGGGGCACGGGGGGTCTGTCCTTAAAACAGGCTGGACTAGAGCCAGGGGGCTCTGTCCTTAAAAGAGGCTGGGCCGGGGGGCTCTGTTTTACAAACAGGGGCTGAGCCCCTCAGTAAGAAGTTTCAGAGCAGCCTCAGGGCTGGGTACACATAAGCTGAGCTGCTCCTATCTTCAATCGGGGCTTCTCGGGGAAGATCTGGCTGGGATATACGTGAATTGAGCCATCACACTTGGAGACCTGCGCTCTTTAGGACGGGGCCCAACCCCAACTCAAGATTTGCACAAATCAGAAAAACGCTGACTTCTTACGAGTAAACACAATTTAATTTCTGCTTTTCCCGTATTTAAAAAAAACGCAGGGAGCAGCCAGTTAGTGGAACAGGTCCCTTTCTGGGAAAGGGAAGAACGGAGATGAGATCTATCCGTCGTGGCATCTTCATGCACTTCTTAGGCACAATTCGCATTTGTGGAAAAGCCTGGTGTTGCCATCACCGCCTGAGCCACCCACCACCCTGTCTCTGTGGGTGGCATGGCCACCCTCAGGCTGCTTCCCAAGCCTCCTCAGGGCTGCCCTGCAGCGCCGGCCGGAACAGCACAGTGCTTTTCTCTAGGTGTGAAATTATTTTGGCCACAACCAGCACGGTGGCTGCCTACCTGCATACGATGTAGCGGATGACGTTGGCGTGACAAATAAAGATCTCGTAACTGTCCTCCTCCTGCCTGGCATCTGCACGGTGGATGTAGTTCCGGAAGGCGGCCTCGATCCGGGCTCCGTCTTCGTAATACTGCTGGGGGCAGAGTGAGGAACAGTCAGCGTGGAAATACACGGGCAAGGCGGACAGACCCCATCGCTGCCCGGGGAAGCCCGTGGGACGGCCGGACACGTGGTGGACGGTGAGCCCCGCAGGGCCGCTTTGCCCAGGAAAGGCAGGGGTGACGCAGCTGCTCCCTGGGGAGGTTTTTACCACAGCTTCTGGCTTCCAGTGAGACACAGGCGGGTCTGGCTCGATGGGGGCGCCTTCCCGCAGCAGGTCTGTGCTGACTTTGCAGACGCCTGGGGAGAAGCACAGTGAAGCCCTGGGTGCGGCGGCCCTGCCGGCGGAGATGCTGTGACCTCCCAGTGGCCAGGAGCTCAGGCCGGGGCCCTGCCGCCAGCCGTCCACTGCTGCAAGCACGGAGGCCCCGCGCCCAGCACTTACCTGGCAGGTGCCGGCTGATGATATCAGTGGTCTCTATGGCGCGCGTCATAGAGGAATGGACGATTTTATTAAACTTCAACCCCAAGCTTGCGAGGCGGAGCCCCGTGAGTTCAGCCTGCTCCCGACCTGGAGGGTGAAACACCTCAGTGCCGCACCCGCACCCCCTCCTCCACCCACAAGCACGAGCCCGCGTCAGGCAGCAAGTGCATCCCATGGCTCCTGCTCTCCCTGGGCTTGGGCCTGAGGGGCTGGCACTCAACTGTCTTCACCCCCATACAGGAAAAAAAAAGCATCCAATTCCATCAATGGCAGGAAACCGGACAGTGGCTGGTGGTTTCTGAGTCCCCTCGTCACCTTCACTTAACTATGCCCAAAACCTGAGCCTCAGGGTCCACTAGGCACACGCCATGACGGAGGCCAACACAGCAGGACCTAAACACCCCGAGCTGCTACACGGGGGCCGGACACCAGTGCAGACACCTTTTCTCTTGTGAGCTTTGGCATCCAGGTGGAAAGGCCCTCGGGAAGGCCGAGTCCACTGGATGCAGCCACAGCTGCGTCTCTCACTCCACTTTCTTTGTATACAAGCAGCCGGGACAGTTCTGGGGGCTGAGGGAGGCATCTGTGGAGGACAGCCCTGCACATTTTTTACCATTTGAACTTTTAATATGTGCATGAACAGACACTATCCCATTTAAAGAACTTTTCAAAGTGTAAACTCTACGTTAGCCTACCCCACATTTCCTTCTCTAGGCATCTCTCCTACAGATCCACCTGCACAGGAACACAAGGATAGGGTGGAAGGACCCTCCTGGGCGCTGTCTATGCAGTGTCTGCCAGTGGGGACAGGCGGGATCGTGTCGCTCAGTCCTGCCTGTTCAACAGGGCATTGAGAGACAGATGCCAGGCTGAGCGCGGTGGCTCACACCTGTCATCCCAGCACTTTGGGAGGCCAAGGCGGGCGGATCACGAGGTCAGGAGTTTGAGACCAGCCTGGCCAATATAGTGAAACGCTGTCTCTACTAAAAATACAAAAAAAAAAAAAAATGCCACCTGTGGTGGCGGGCACCTGTAATCCCAGCTACTTGGGAGGCTGAGGCAGGAGAATCGCTTGAACCCATGCAGTGGGCCATGATCACATCTGCACTCCAGCCTGGGCAACAGAGCAGGACTCTGTCTCCGGGAAAAAAAAAAAAAAAAAAAAGCAGACGCCAGGCAGCAGGCCTGTGAGTGCAGAAGAGAAGGGTCTTTGGCAGCAGGTCCAGGTGAGCAGCTAAGCGCACAAGCTATGCGGCTTTCCAAGGCGTCAAGCAGGCACAAAACCCCTGCTAGGATATGCACCGAATTTGGTCTCATGCAAACAAGATAGGTCCGACATTTGCTAAAAGGTAAGGACTTTTTTTTTTTTTTTTTTTTTTTGAGACGGAGTCTCGCTCTGTCACCTAGGCTAGAGTGCAGTGGTGCAATCTTGGCTCACTGCAACCTCCACCTGCCAGGGTCAAGCAATTCTCTTGCCTCAGCCTCCTGAGTAGCTGGGATTACGGGTGCCTGCCACCGCACCTGGCTAATTTTTGTACGTTTAGTAGAGACGAGGTTTCGCCGTGTTGGCCAGGCTGGTCTCGAACTCCTGACCTCAGGTGATCCGCCTGCCTTGGCCTCCCAAAGTGTTGGGATTACAGGTGTGAGCCACCGCACCCGGCCAAGGTAAAGACATTTTTAAAAGCTTGTCTTCTATCCAAGTTCAGCGGACAGTTACTGATAATGTCAATGTGTGATTCAGGCGTGATGGCCTCAGACATGGGCCCCAGGAGACCCAGTGCCCCAAACACTTTCAAGAAAGCTGACTGGTGGGGTCTGCGGAGGAGCTGCATCACATAACCAAGGCACCAGCAGAGGATATGCACCTGGCCACATCCCCAAGGGCGTCCCTGGAGGGTCTGACCCGGCCACATCCCCAAGGGCGTCCCTGGAGGGTCTGACCCAGCCACATCCCCAAGGGCGTCCCTGGAGGGTCTGACCCCGTCACCTCCCCAAGGGTGTCCCCGGAGGGTCTGACCCCGTCACCTCCCCAAGGGTGTCCCCGGAGGGTCTGACCCCATCACACACCCAAGGGAGTCACAGAGGGTCTGACTCGCCACATACCCAGCGGGGTCAGAGTGCGGTCCTTCTCCAGGGAGCCATCCACATGGTACTGGGAGTGCCTGATGAGGAAGATGTGCCGTGTGGCCTTGGCTTTGTAGTGGTCCAGCTTGGACGCCAGCTCTTCTTCCCCAGATTCCACATTCCTCTTCCGCAGGTTGATCAGAGACAGCGGTTCTCGCCTGATGTTGAAATACAAGATAGGTCCTTGTGACCTCTGTTCCCAAGTTTGAGTTTTTCTGACAAGATGTTATTTCCAGATTGTCAGACTATTTGGGAAGAGCATGGAGAGAAGCCAAGGACCTCGGCACAGCCCTGGGGAGGCCTCTCTGAGCATACCGCTACTCTCCCTCCCAAAAAGCTAGTTCCAGGCCTGTTCTACATTATGTGCTGGAAAGCAAAACAGATAAGCAAAGCCCTGTGCATCTTCTCTAATAAGGAGAGGCAGACAGTGAACAGCAGGAGACAGACCACCCAGAATGCACCTGTGGGTACGGAAACGCCAGGCTAGGAAGGAGGACAGCGGCTATGGGTGGGCAGGGGGAAAGTGTCCGCGGGACCAGGACAGCCTCCCTGACCATGATGCTTCAGCAGAGCCTAGAACTGCAATGCCCAACAGCAGCCACCAGCTATGAGGATGTTTCAATTAAAAATTTAAGCAAAATTAAATAAAATTAAAACATCATGTCCTCAGTCATACTAAACACATTTTAGACCCTCAGGACCGGCTGCAGTGGCTTACACCTGTAATCCCAGCATTTGGGAGGCTGAGGCGGGCAGATCAACTGAGATCAGGAGTTCGAGACTAGCCTGGCCAACATGGTGAAATCCCATCTCTATTAAAAATGGAAAAAATCAGCCGGGCTTGGTGACACAGACCTGAAATCCCAGCTACTTGGGAGGCTGAGGCAGGAGAATCGCTTGAACCCGGGAGGCGGAGGGTGCAAAGAGCTGAGATTGCACCACTGCACTCCAGCCTGGGCGACATAGCGAGACTCCACCTCAGAAAATAAACAAACACTCAGCAGCCACATGGGATAGTGACTATCACATCAGACAGTGAGGAAGAAACCATTCCCATTATGAAGTCCTGTTCCGGAGCTGCTGGAATCTGAAAAAGCGGATCCCAGCATTTTGGGAGGTCAGGGTAGGCAGATCACTGAAGCCCAGGAGTTCAAGACCAGCCTGGGCAACACAGGGGGGGCCCCGTCTCTACAAAAATATTAAAAAGTTAGCTGGGCAAGGCGGTCCGCAGCTGTAGTCCCAGCTGCTCAGGAGGCTGAGGTGGGAGGATCACTTGAGCCTGGGAGGGAGCCATGATCTCGCCACTGCAGTGCACTGCGCTCCAGCCTGGGCAACAGAGCAAGACCCTGTCTGAACAGCAACAAAAAAAGTTCAACACGGCAGAGCTGGGAAGAGCAAAAGTGGAACCTGCTGGTATTTACTCAGAGACAGTGGCAGAAAAGGAAGTTGTGGAAGGGTATGGTCGTGACTCAAGGGCTCTGTTCGGGCTGCGCTGACCTGGGGGCCTGTCATAAACCAGGCCAAGACTCAAATTGGCAGGTATGGGGGAGTCAGGGTGAAAATATTTGGGAGCTATAGGCACAGAGACAGGAAGCCGTGCACTGCATGAGACCTCCAGGAAGAAGCTGGAGATTTCACCAGATGAGGCTCTGGAACTTTACAGCGTGGACACCAGACTCAAGAGGAAACATGCTGTCTTCTAGCACCTTTCTGTAGTTGCTCATGCCTTCTGTCTGTACGAGTCTTTCCCAGCCCACAAGGCCCAATTCACTTCTCCCCAGACACGGCAAGCAAATACAGAACACCTGCTTAAAAGAGAAAGGCTGGGCTCAGTTCCCGGTTCTACTTCAAGTTTTTTTTTTTTGAGACAGAGTCTTCCTCTGTCGCCCAGGCTGGAGTGCAGTGGCACAATCTGGGCTCACTGCAGCCTCCACCTCCTGGGTTCAAGTGATTCTCCTGCCTCAGCCTCCTGAGTAGCTGGGACTACAGGTGTGTGCCACCATGCCTGGTTAATTTTTTTGTATTTTTAGTAAAGACAGACTTTCACCATGTTGGCCAGGCTGGTCTCGAACTCCTGACCTCAAATGATCCGCCCGCCTCAGCCTCTCAAAAAGTGCTGGGATTACAGGTGTGAGCCACTGCACCCAACCTACTTCAAGTTCTTTAACCTTAATCTCTTTCCTTAAAAAGGCCTAAGAAATTCAGAATATTTTACTGATTTTTAAAAAAGAATTTAATGGGCTGGGCATGGTGGCTCATGCCTGTAATCCCAGCACTTTGAGAGGCCGAGGTGGGTGGATCACCTGAGGTCGGGAGTTCAAGACCAGCCTGACCGACATGGAGAAACCCCCTCTCTACTAAAAACACAAAATTAGATGGCGTGGTGGTACATGCCTGTAGTCCCAGCTACTCGGGAGGCTGAGGCAGGAGAATCGCTTGAACTCAGGAGGCGGAGGTTGCAGTGAGCCAAGATTGCGCCATTGCATTCCAGCCTGGGCAACAAGAGCGAAAATCTATCTCAAACAAAAAAGAAGAAAAGAAAGAAAAAGAATATAACTCCCATCTAATCATGAGAAAATCTTCAGACAAATCTCAACTGAGGAACCTTCTATAAAACCCCTGACCAGGATGCCTCAAACAGTGATGATCATCGAAACAAGTCTGAGAAATTATCACCACCAAAACGTGCCTGAGGAGGCATGAAGATTGCTTGTCATATGGGATCCTAGAACAGAACAGCAGGTAAAAGCTGAGGAAATCTCAGTGAAGCATGAACCTTAGTAATAATGTATGGGTTACGGCTCATTAATTTTGATATATACACCACGCTTAGTGTATGATGCTAATAATAGAGGAAATAAGGTTAACAAAAGAAAAAAAAGTAATATAAAGTACTTAACCACAGTAGTAAGTATAATTCTGTGCCCCTTTCTCAGAGTACTGAGTATAAGGAGCAGTTAGGACTGGGCAAACCATCCTTGCCTCAAGAGCAGTCCTGGCCGACAGAAACAGAATGCCAGCAACATGTGAAAATTATAAATTTTCTAACAGCAACATTAAAAAGAAACAGGTGAATTTCGATCATACTTTTAATTCAATATGCTAAAAATATTATTTCAACACATAACCAATGTTAAAAACCTGCACTTTTTTTTTTTTTTTTTCCTTTCAGACAGGCTCTGTTGCTTAGGCTGGAGTGAAGTGGCGGGATCTCGGCTCACACTGCAGCCTGGGACCCCTGGACTCAAGGGATCCTCCTGCCTCAGCCTCCCGAGTAGCTGGGACCACACGCGCGCGCCACCTCGCTCGGCTTATTTTGTAATTTCTGTAGAGATGGGGGTCTTCCTATGTTGCCCAGGCCGGTTTCAACTTCCTGGGCTCAAGCGATCCTCCGGCCTCGGCCTCCCAAACGCCCGGATTACAGGCGTGAGCTACTGCACCCGGCCGTGCTTAAGTTTATTTATTTTTGTTTGTTTGTTTTTGTTTTTTTGAGACGGAGTCTCACTCTGTCGCCCAGACTGGAGTGCAGTGGCGCGATCTCGGCTCACTGCAAGCTCCGCCTCCCGGGTTCACGCCATTCTCCTGCCTCAGCCTCCCGAGTAGCTGGGACTACAGGCGCCCGCCACCTCGCCCGGCTAATTTTTTTGTTTTTTAGTAGAGACGGGGTTTCACCGTGTTAGCCAGGACGGTCTCGATCTCCTGACCTCGTGATCCGCCCGTCTCGGCCTCCCAAAGTGCTGGGATTACAGGCGTGAGCCACCGCGCCCGGCCTGCTTAAGTTTAAATTGACGTAAACTAAGCATTCCCTTCAGGAATCACACGGGCCATATTTCAAACGCTCATTACCCGCACGCGGCTCGCGGGCGCGCTCCTGCAAACGCCCCTGGAGAAGGCCCGGCTTCCACCCCAGCCTCGCCCCGGCCCGCGCTCCGGCGACGGCACCCAGGACGGACTGGCAGGAGCGGAGAGAAGGGCGACGATGAGGCGGAGCTCGGCCCACAGAAGCCGGCGGGAAGGGCCCGCCGCCCCCAGAACCCTCAGCGCACAGCGGCCCCGGAAGGCGGTTCCTTCGCCGGGGGAAGCGGACGGCGACTCCAGATCCCGACTCGATCGCAACCTTGAACCTGGTCCCGATCCCGACCCTGGTCCTGGTCCCGATTCCGATCCCAACGGTAACACCGGCCCTGACCCCCATCCCGACCCCAGCCCCGACCAGCCCCGCGCGCACCTGTCCCAGTTGGGGTCCCAGACGCCGGGGCCCGGCCGCGCGCCCCCCGCCCAGGCCGGCGGCTCAGCCGGGCGTGGCTCCGCGTCCCCGCCCGCGCGCGGCTTCCCTACCGCCACGGCCGAGAAGAGCACGGCGGCCGAGCCCCCTGCCAGCCCGCAGGCCGCCAGCTGCAGCGCCTGCCGGAACGCCATGCCGCCCGCTCCCGCGCCGGCCCGCGCAGGCGCCCACGGCCCCGACGGCGCTCCGCGAGGGACACGCTTCCGCGGGAGGCCGCTTCCGGGAGGCGGGGGCGGAAGTCCCGCCTCCTGGGGCGCGGCGGGGCGCGGGGCAGCCTTCAGCGAAGGGGTGTTTTCGCGGAGCCGCCTGCCCCGTCACTCTTCCGTCCCGTCACTGGTGCTCGCGAACGCCGGTGCGCGCAGGTGCGGGCGGAGCTGTGGAGACGCCGGGAGGGCGGCGCGGTGCTTTCCAGAAGGTTCCGCACCGGAAGCGCCTGCCCAGGCCCGAGGCTGGGTGCGGGGCGGAGACGCGGAGGAGAACTTGCGGCCTTGGTTTAAGGGAGCTGGGAAACCGCGACAGATTTGTTTAAAGGATACGTTTTTGGTGGCAGAACCCGAAATAAATTTTTCCGCCGGCGCCGTTCCTGCGTGTGCGGTTCAAGCGGCGTGAAGTGCGTTCAGGTTCGGCCGGGCTGTTACTTCTGGTCCCGGCCTCCTGCGGGACAGTCCCTCTGTGGCCGGCGCATTTCGCTTAGCAGGGTCCTCAGAGGAACCTCGTTAGAGCCTGGGTTTCCTTCCAGGGGCACCGGCGCTCCCTGTGTGGACCGACCCCACGGCTTACCCATTGCTGGACGCCTGTGTGGACCGACCCCACCGCTTACCCATTGCTGGACGCTTGCCCTGTCTCAAAAAAAATTAATAATATAAAAAAAGGAAAATTGGGCCAGGCGCAGTGGCTCACGTCTGTAATCCCAGCACTTTGGAAGGCCAAGGTGGGCGGATCACCTGAGGTCAGGAGTTCGAGACCAGCGTGACCAACATGGTGAAACTCCCTCACTACTGAAAATACAAAAAAATTAGCCTGGCATGGTGGTGCGCGCCTGTATTCCCCGCTACTCAGGAACCTGAGGTAGGATAATCGCTTGAACCCGGGAGGCAGAGGTTGTAGTGAGCCAGGATCGTGCCTCTGCACTCCAGTCTGGGTGACAGAGTGAGACTCTGAAAAAAACAAAACAAAAAAATTGGCCAGGTTCAGTGGTTCATGTTTGTAATCCCAGCACTTTGGGAAGCTGAGGCGGGTCGATCACCCGAGGTCAGGAATTTGAAGCCAGCCTGGCCAACATGGTGAAACCCCGTCTCTACTAAATACAAAAATTAGCCACGCAGGATGGTACACGCCTGTAATCCCAACTACCTAGGAGGCTGAGGCAGGAGAATCTCTGGAACTGGAGAGGCAGAGGCTGCAGTCAGCTGAGATCGCACCACTGCACTCCAGCTAAAAAATAAAAAACAAAATGGAAAATCCACAAGGACATAGTTGAGTCCATAAGAAGAAACGACAGGGCCAGGCGCGGTGGCTCACGCCTATAATCTCCGCACTTTGGGAGGCCCAGGCGGGTGGATCGCGAGGTCAGGAGATCGAGACCATCCTGGCTAACAGGGTGAAACCCCGTCTCTACTAAAAATACAAAAAAATTAGCCAGGTGCGGTGGCGGCACCTGTAGTCCCAGCTACCGGCAGGCTGAGGCAGGAGAATGGCGTGAACCCGAGAGGCGGAGCTTGCAGTGAGCCAATATCGCACCACTGCACTCCCGCCTGGGCGACAGAGCAAGACTCCGTCTCAAAAATAAATAATAAATAATTTTTTAAAAAAAAGAAACGACAGCAGATAAATCAGTTAACAAAAGTTTGAAAACTGGAAATGAGATCTTTATGGACCTGAGAAAATGGAACACTAGTGCCTATGTGGAAGGAAACCAAGAAGCAAGTTCATTTAATCCAGTGAGTCTGGAAGAGTCTGGGAGTTGGCAGCGCTAGCCTCCTGTCTGAGAGCTGTGGAACTGAAAGCAGGAGCATTTAGAGGAAAAGGTTGCCTTCCACATTTCCTTTCTCACACACATGTTCAGGGGATTAGCTCACTTTCATCACCGTGGAGCACTAAGAGAAAGGCCATTCCAGGGGACCTGAGCAGGAGGATTCTGGACACCAAGCATAGCTCGGATCGGGATGCAGTAATAAGACGGGATTATACGGAGTTCACATAAGGAAGAGGAGGACCTCTAATCCCTTTCATCCGGTTAGTCACAAGAGTGTTGGCCACTAGGCTCATTGCATGCTCAGCTACCACCACCATCCTTCCCCCAACGCCCTGACAAGAACTGAAGGATTCCTCTGTGTGGAAACTGACCAGCCCAAGAAAAAGGATTTTTTTTTTTTAATGTATTTTTTACGCCAGGCGCAGTGGCTCATGCCAGCACTTTGAGAGGCTGAGGCAGGCTGATCACTTGAGGTCAGGAGTTTGAGACCAGCCTGGCCAACATGGTGAAACCTCATCTCTACTAAAAATACAAAAAATTAGGGTATAGTGGCGCACGCTGGTAATCCCAGCTACTCAGGAGGCTGGGCCAGGAGAATTGCTTGAAAACGGGATGCTGCGGTAAGCCGAGATTGTGCCACTGCACTCCAGCCTGGGCAACAGAGTGAGACTCTGTCTCAAAAAAAAAAAAAAAGAAAATGGGCTGGGCCACAGTGGCTCACGCCTGTAATCCCAGCACTTTGGAAGGCCGAGGTGGGCAAATCACGAGGTCAGGAGTTCGAGACCAGCCTGGCCAACATGGTGAAACCCCATCTCTACTAAAAATGGAAAAAATAAGCTGGGCGTGATGGTGGGCGCCTGTAATCCCACACTCGGGAGGCTGAGGCAGAAGAATCACTTGAACCCAGGAGGCAGAGGTTGCAGTGAGCTGAGATCACGCCACTGCACTCTAGCCCAGGCAACAGTGCAAGACTCTGTCTGGAAAAAAAAAAAAAAAAGTCTTTTAAATTTTTTTTTTTTTCTTAAGAGACAGGGTCTCACTCTGCTGCCCAGGCTGGAGTGCAATGGTGCAATCACAGCTCACTGCAGCCTCCAACTCCTGGGCTTAAGTGATTCCCCTGCCTTAGCCTCCAGAGTAACTGGAACTACAGGCATGTGCCACCATACTCCACTAATTTCTATATTTTCTGTAGAGACGGGTTTGTGTTGCACAGTAAAAAAGAGAGACCTTGAACTCCTGGGCTCAAGTGATCCTCCCACCTTGGCCTCCCAAAATGCTGGGATTACAGGCATGAGCCACTGCACCCGGCCTTACACCCCACTTTTTGATAACGTGTGATCCTCAACAAAAGTGGGTCTCTGCTTGCTTGGCCTACAGTGAAGGCACCATTTAACATGTGCAGCCCACACTAAGCTTCCAAAGAATGTCTTAGTAGCACTGATTCTTAAAAATTAATGAACCATCGAGGATCAACAGACATTTGAGGAAATCCTAATCAAGAAAGATAGAGCCAGGCATAGTGGCACACCCGTGCAGTCCCAGCTGCTGGGGAGGCTGAGGTGAGAGAATTGCTTGAGTCCAGGAGTTCGGGGCTGTAGTGTGCTTTGCTAGTTGGATATCCACACTTAACACACCACTGTGGTGACTTCCTGGGAGAAGCAGAGCACTAGGTTGCCTAAGGAGGAGTGAACCAGCCCAGGTGGAAATGGAGCAGGTCAGAACTCCCATGCTGATGAGTGAGATCTGTGAATAGCTACTGCAGTTCAGCCTGGGTAACATGGCAAGACCCTGTCTCTAAAAAGAAAAGAAGACCAAGGCCGGGCGCGGTGGCTCACACCTATAATCTCAGCACTTTGGGAGGCCGAGGCGAGTGGATCACGAGGTCAGGAGATCGAGACTACGGTGAAACCCCGTCTCTACTAAAAATACAAAAAACTATCTGGGTGTGGTGGTGGGCGCCTATAGTCCCAGCTACTCAGAAGGCTGAGGCAGGAGAACAGCGTGAGTGAACCCGGGAGGCGGAGGTTGCAGTGAGTCGAGATCATGCCACTGCACTCCAGCCTGGGCAACAGAGCAAGAGTCCGTCTCAAAAAAAGAAAAAGGCCAGGCGCGGTGGGCTCAAAGCCTGTAATCCCAGCACTTTGGACAGGCCGAGACCGGCGGATCACGGATGGCTCAGGAGGATCGAGACCAGCGCTGGCTAACACAGTGAAAACCCGGCGTATCTTCCCCTGGGGTGCGTTGTCTATTAAAAAATACAAAGAAAACTAGTCCGGGCGGAGCGTGGCGCCGCCTGTTAGGGTCCAGGCTACTCGTGCTCTGCGGTGAGGCTGAGGCAGAGAGAATGGCCGTAAACCCGGAAGGCGGAGCTGCAGTGAGGCCGAGATGGCGCCACTGGCACTCCAGCCTAGGCGACAGAGGCGAGACTCCCCATCTCCAAAAAAAAAAAAAAAAAAGAAAAAGAAAGGAAAAAGGAGGACGCAAAACAAATGAATAAAACAGAAAAACGTACTCAGAACATCATCATCGAGATACAAAAGATTTCCAAACTTAGGTAAACTAAGATCTTAGAGGATATGCTGATTACTCATGAAACGATGGAATACGTACCAAGGAGGGGTTGGTCTCAGAACTGAGAAAAAACATAGTCTGGGGAAGGGATGGCTTGGAATGAGAATAGCAAGACACAGAAGGCTGGGCATGTGTGGCTCACGCCTGTAACTCCCGCAGCACTTGAGAGCCAAGGCACGGCAATCACCTCGAGGTGAGTAGTTCAAGACCAGGCTGGCCCAACGATGGTGCAAACCCCGTCTATATAATGAAAAAAATACAAAAATCTCACTGTGGTGTGTGTGGGACGCCTGTAATTCCAGCTACTCAGGAGGCTGAGGCAGGAGAGTCAGTTGGAACCGGAGAACAGGGGGGTTGCAGTGAGCTGAGACATGCCACTGGCCTCCAGCAAAAGAAGAACACAGAAAAAAAATCAGGCTGGAAAGGTTGGCGCATATAAACTGGGGGATTTAGGCTGGGCGCAGTGGCTCACTCCTGTAATCCCAAGCACTGTTGAGGGGCAAGGCTGGGCAGATCGAGACCTGGGAGGTCAGAAGTCAAGACCAGTCCGCGGCACTGGCCAACATGGTGAAACCCCCATCTATCACTAAAAATACAAAAAATCAGCCAGGCGTAGTAGTGCGTTGCCTGCTAATCACACTACTTGGGTGAA